TTTAACCCCCCCCCCCCCCGGGCCGGTCATGCAAAGTGCACTTTTTTCAATGAAATCACCCTAATTATAGGTGTCGGAAATGTTATTCGGCATGAAAATGCGTGAGAAAGTGATGCGTGATGAAAATGCATCAGTCTCGAGCGCGGGTGACCGGACCGCTCACCAGACACCTTCTTTTGTTCAGCGACCATAGGTCGGCAACCTTTCCATTGTGAGGGTAGGAGCAATGGGCACCCTTCATCCCTCCTTAATGAGCCCTATTACCCGCACCGAAATATTTTTCTCGCTGAAAAATTAATCTTTTGACGTGAAAATTTAGTTCCAGCGTGAAATTATGATATATGTGCACTAAAATTTTGTCCAATTGTTTTAATTTTGAGCTGATATACGGCATTTGCGTGTGACCCCGATTCGCCGCGAAATACTGTATGTCAGCTCAGAATTAAGATAATTGGACGAAATTTTAGTGCGCTTTTATCACAATTTCACGCTGGAACTAAATTTTCACGCCTAAAGATTAGTTTTTCAGCGAGAAAAAAATTTCGATCCGGGTACCAGGACTCATTTAGGAGGGATGAAGGGTGCCCATTGTTCCTACCCTCACAATGGACGGGTTGCCGGCCTTTGAAGCAAAGAAGGTTTCCGGCGAGCGGTACCGGTCAGGTCACCTGCGCTGGAGACTGATGCGTTGCCATTTACGGATTTTCATGCCGAATAATTAGTCTCAGGTTTCGTGAAACGGACTATAGACCACTTGCTTTTCCAACTCCCATCACTCCCCCTAACCCCACTATGACCCTCCCGTCACCCCTAATCCTTGCTAGCCATGAAAGAGCCACCGAACCGTGCGATTCTGAAAGCAGATTTTTATGGAGTTTTATTTTTCTTTTTTTCTTCTTTCAGACGGGGAAAATCTTTTAAAGACCCCATCTCAGGTATCTATAGGAACCCAAGATGGGTGCATGAGCTTTCCACTACCTGAAAAACCCTCCGCTTGGTGGAGCCAACTGAAAATAAAAGATACTTCTTTTAAGACTCTTGTTTTCAAACAATGGATAGAATATTGAAAAAAGTTTTGACATTTTTACAATTGGCTCACTCGATGCCGACTTCGCTCCTCTTCTTTGATGTTTTTACGTCATCTTGAATCTTTTGGATCGGACGGTTATCCGAGGGTAGGTGTGTTCAAACGAATTCTTGCCGGAACACTTTCGATATCGTCTCTTATTGAAACTGGCGCAGTACCGACAGTGGCGATGATATCGACAACAGCCGGCCTTATCGGATTTTTGAGAGCTCGCATTCAATGCATTGTTGCCCAGTGTGTCGGTTTATCAGATTGCCTGGCGCGGCGGCGCGTAAAATAGATGTACAAATGGCAACAGCTCATTTTCGTCAGCTCCGAAAACTCTGATCGCTATCGGCATGAGCGCTCTTATCGTAACTTTTTCTTAACGGAACTGTTTCGGTAGCTTACCGACAACCGATAGAACAGCCCTATCCGAGGGTCTTCGTAGCTCGATGTGGAAGATTGTGAATCCATCGAGGAGGAAGGTTTTTCATACATCGAAGAGTCATGAATTGTGGGTTGTATCGAGATGGCTGTTGCATTTTCTCCGTCGGATTCGCTATTTTCATCGTTTTCATTAAAATTGATTTCTTTCCTTACCCTTCAACGTTCCCTTCCTCTTCAAAATTCATTGATAGGTTTCCAGCCGCGGTAGATGTTTCAGCAATACCGCTGTCACTCTCGCGTCTCGCCATACAGGGTGTTAGAAAAGTCCCCTCCCCCCCATCTAACTTTTTACTTAATTGAGATAGATATTTGAAACTTGGAGGATGTTCTTAGGTCAAAGGGAGCTACTTTTTGGCCCCCCTAAAATTTTTTGGGGGCCCCCCTTTGGGGGTAATGGACCCCAACTTTTTTTTCAAATGGGAGGACCCCCTTTGTGATACCTCGTTCGAAAGAACATAAAAAAAGAAATTTTTTCGCGCAAACCCGAAGTCATTATCTTAAGCCGTTTTAAAATGGCGGCCGATTAAAGTTCAAATGGCCGAAAATTGGCATCTCGGCTATTTGCACATGGATTTGTTTGAAAATCGGTATCTGAGGGTATTTTTGCACGAGAAAAACGAATTTGACGTTAGATTATTCAAAAAAACCCTAATTTTTCCAAATGGCGGCCGGTTTAGGTTCAAAATGACCGAAAAGTGACAAACTTGAGTTGTAACGTCAAATTCGTTTTTCTCGTGCCAAAAATACCCCCAGATATCAAGTTTCAGGCGAATCCATCGGCATAAAATCAAGTTTGTCAATTTTCGGCCATTTTGGACCTTACCGGCCGCCATTTTGAAAAATTAGGGTTTTTTGAAAATCTAACGTCAAATTCGTTTTTCTCGTGTCAAAGTACCCCTTTATTCCGATTTTCGCGCAAATCCATCGACAAATAACCGGTGTGAATTTTCGGCCATTTTGAACTTTAACCGGCCGCCATTTTGAAACGGTTTGAGATTTTGACTTCGGGTTTGCGCGAAAAAATTTCTTTTTTTATGTTCTTTCGAACGAAGTATCACAAAGGGGGTCCTCCCATTTGAAAGAAAAGTTGGGGTCCGTTACCCCCAAAAAATTTTAGGGGGGCCAAAAAGTAGCTCCCTTTGACCTAAGAACATCCTCCAAGTTTCAAATCTCTATCTCAGTTAGGTAAAAAGTTAGATGGGGGGGGGGAGGGGACTTTTCGAACACTTTGTATAATTCACTGCCTTCCGAGTCATATTTATTCTTTTGTTTCGAAGTTTTTTCAGTTGGCTCACCCAAAGCGGAGGGATTTTTAGTAAGTGGCAATCCCATACACCTGTCTTGGGTTCCTATAGCTACCTAAGATGGAGTCTTTAAAAGGTTTTTTCCAGCTGAAAAAAGGAAAAAAGAAAAGAGAAACGGGAACAAATCTGCTTTCAGAATCGCACGGTTCGGTGGCTCTTTCATGGCTAACAAGGATTTTGGGGTGACGGGAGGGTCATAATGGGGTTAAGGGGAGTGACGGGGATTGGAAAAGCAAGTGGTCTAGGATGGGTTCGCATACATTTCCGACACCTTTAATTAGGGCGATTTCATCGAAAAAAGTGCACTTAGCAAGATCGGTCAAGGGGGGGGGGGGCATGATTTTATGGGGGAGGGTCACGGTACCAAGGTTGACGTGTATAAACCATTTTCCGAAATATTTTTCTATATTCCAACGGCGTTGCAGCGTTTTTACGCAGCAAATTTTACAATTTCAAAAATCTAAACATCGTTTGATAGGAAATTTTACGCACTTTTAAAATGAATATAACTCAATACGTCGGAAACGAGGGCGGGGGGAGAATTTAGTTGCCTTACATGAGCCTATTTTCCGAAAAAAGCCTTAAAAAACCATAAAATCGCGATTATTTCTCCAGGAGCTCGAACAACCTATTTCGAAATTGTGGTTTTTAGTATCTGGTAGTGCTCCTCTTGACATTCCAGCTCAAATATTTATGTCAGGACCAACTTCGATCAAAACCCCTTTCAGGAGCACCGTGCTCACCTTTGTGATTCCAGACCCAGAAAACCTGTTGGCAGATATGTCATACAGCATCTAAAGATAAACATTTTTCTACTAAGAGCCCATTTTCTTGGATCCCCTCCCCCCCTTAGATCGGAGAATTTTTAAAATTTAATATTCTGATTCTGTGACTAAAATTACATAGAAATTGATACCTCAGTCGACTTCTTTAGAAAATTTAAAATTTTAAAACCTCCTTGGCGCGGCGCCTTTATCAGTTGCCATCTTGAATGGGGAGATGCTGGGTTGATTTTTGAACTTGATACCATCGAAAATCTAATTCTACGCATTAAGACGGAAAGATTGATGTATAGAACACAGTTTTTTAAAAATACTGCAGACAAATCATCTTTTTTGTACATCTGCAACTGCACGAAACGCAATTTTTCAAAGATAAAGTTGAACGCTACATTAAGGCTCACAATCAGATGAATACAATTCTTGTTCAGGTGTAACTTTCTCATGCTTTCTCTTGCCTTTTTTAACTGAGAGCTCTGTCATTTTGGTTTGTTTTAGGAATCAATGAAATGTAAGGCGCCCCAGCTGCATTTGGAATATAGGTTTTATAAAATACTAGGATCTCATGGTAAGCATACATATGTATCTTCGTCTTCTTGAAAGTAAAGAACCATACAAAGCCATACAAAAGTAACAAAAATTCTTAGCCTCTATTCATAGACAACACAGGTTCACAGGGTACAAAATTAAGCAACGTGGTGTATGGTTCCTCATCAAAATTTTATGTAGAATGCGATGAACGCATTAAAATTTTATGTAGAATGCGATGAACGCATTAAAATTTTATGTAGAATGCGATGAACGCATTAAAATTTTTCAAATTAAACTCATAAGAGTAAGGATCTAACGGTTCTTGTCTACGTTGATTCACACTTCGCAGCATAATAAAACCTGAGATTATTTCAGTTAAAGGCTGCATGAAACTAAACTAATTTTGGTTTTTTTTCGATGCAAAAGCTTCCTGTGTACTAATTTATTTCCTAATGAGACTCAGGTACCTCTTATCAAAAGAAGGAAGTGTGTTTGAAAACGAGCTTTAGTTATCTGCTTAATATACAGGTTGATTTCAGTGCCTAATTCAGCTCAAGTTGAAACCGGCTTTTTTTCAAGACGGGGGAGCTTTCATTTGCCGTTCATAGGATAAACTACGATCGTTTATTTCTCACTTATGAGTGAAGTTTGAAAGTTTTCGTTACATTCGACGTATTTTTTGTGAAATTATGATGAGGAAATAAGTTCTGTAATGCTTAGTTTCCTACCTTGTCTTGTGGCCCATTGTAATAAAGCAAATTAAAATGCTACTTATAAATTATTAGGTGTAGCCAGGAAATTAGTTTCTTACACTATGTTTTTGTTAAAAATTAAAAAAAAAAGAAAACACCGCAAATTTCAAAGTATGGTAGACCTCGTATGCACACAGTCTAGAGGAATGCACCATGTTATTCTTCATGAAGGAGGTAAGTTATTCTTAAGGTGATCAAAAAGCTATTGTTCTTCATCCAGTAAACTGAATTTCTCCGCCGTTATTTTCAGCAGCTGCTCTTTCATAGTGCCTATTTTCTAACCAGTGCGTTTATCCCACATCAATTCGAGGTCACCTTTTCTCGGTTTTGTTTAACAAATTGTTCAATTTTGACTTAAGATGCAATGAGAGTGTTCCATTTTCTTGCTGAAAAATATTAGGCGTGGTGCGCCTGAAGTCCCTTATTATGGAGTTTGAATGTACATCAAACTTTAACAACAAACGTACACTTAGAGGTTGTAGTAGGGTATTCTCTGATGGATTTTTGACCAAATTCGAAGTATGTAATCAAAGCTCCTCGAAAAATAATCGCTCTTTTGTAGTTTTTCAGGGGTGTAATAGCTAGATGGCCCTAGGTGTGACAAATAAAACGCCCGCCTCCTCATACTTGCCTTGGCTAACCTGAATTTATAGTATATTTTTTCCTGGTATGAGGTGCAACTTACCTGAAATTTGCATGCCCGTTGATTTTATTTGCCTTTGTGGCAGCATTGCTAAGTTTTGGACCCCAAAATATTAAATTTTATGATAAAACTAAGTGCCCGAGAGCGCCCTGTCATCGTAATGGGGTAATCTAGACATAGAATATACCCGTTTTTCTGATAAGACAGTTTGTCCCAGACCATTTTTGTAGGTTTTTTTCTCTTTTTTGTTGAACGTAGTCCGGGAACGCAGGGGAAGAAAACAAATAGATGACACAAATAGATGAGGATATACATACAATATATAACTTATCATTTTTTCAGAAGTGATACAATTAGGAAGGAGGGTAGGATCAGGTAACATGTACAAATTGGTGGAAATGTACCTTGATTAATGAATTCAATCGATTATTTAATCTTTGGTTAATTGCATTAATGGACCACTAGACAAGGTACGAATTTAAGCATTCTGATACATGTTTCTTAACCATAATTTCACGTAAAGCACGATTTGCACAACGAAAACTAATGAAACAAAATCCAAACGAAGATATTAACATTTTTATTTCACATTGGTTCCAAGGAATTTGAACCGCCCGCTGACAAGAAACTCAAAGCTCTACGTGAGCCAAATCGCGCACTACAACGGTTTCAACAAACTTCTCAATCTAGTAATGTTCATTTCCCACCATGTGTTGTTCAAACTATTAAAAATTTGCTACAGCTGAGCCAAAGTGTCAAGATTGAGGTTGCCAGACTTTTATATCGCAGAGACTGTCATGATAATTTTTAGCGCATGATGTGAATCATGCAGAGCATTGAGTTTTCATGAGCGGGTGGTTTGAATTCACGCATCAAGAATCATTAAATATCTTTGGAAGGAGTTGATTTCGGTAATTTTCGTTGTGCGCGTCGTATTCTACGTAAAATTTTAATTAAGAAGCATGTATCAGAATGCTGAAATTCGTACCTTGTCTAGTGGCCCCAAATTTTTAACAACAACAAAAAAAAAAAAAAGATGAGACGAATGGAAAGGATATACATACAATATATAAATTACTAAGATAAATAAGTTACCAAGAATGTATAAAAGTAATTTAATTTACCATCAACTGAAGAAAAAAACACTATAAAGTGGCCCGAAACCTGTATGTAACAAGATAGAGAAATGGGTGCTGGGTCCACACCATTTCGTGGGGAATTATTAATAATTATATAATAATTATTAATAATTTATTTAATAATTATTAATTTACCATCAACCTGTTATTTAGTTTTTGTTTTCTAGTTGCTTGATAGTTTTTGATCTGTAAGCTATACCGATTTTGACTATATTAGAGGAATCTGTTACTTTGATTCTTTTGGTAATGCTGCCCTGAAGTACCAAGTTGAGCTGGAATTCATGTACATAATTACCTAATTATTTTTTAAATACCTAATAGATTGAATTATATGACAAGAACACGTTCAGACTTTGAGATGATCCCTGATGTAACTATAAATATGCATATGGATACGTTCCCTTTAGTTTCATTAACAACAGGGTGAAATTCAGAATGACAATTTCATTGCTTTTTTAATTACCAATTGTAAAAATAGATTCACTATATAATTAATTTATCAAATTTTATTGTTGCGCCAGTCTTATAATGACATTGAAAACGGCACTGAAAAACGCCGTTTTAGAGCAGACACCCAATTCCATTAAGCTGTACTATCTGCATGTCCCATGGCATCTTTCGGGACCTTGAAGGTAATGCCAAGTGGATTCTAATGGAATTGAACGCAAATGACCTGTGATGTAATCGTTTACACTTCTGATATGAGTAGCTGCACCTTTAAAAAAATTGTTTTCTTAGATCTAGAAACAGCTCCCCAAAGTTTCATTATTTCTGTTCGTTTAAATTCTCATCGTACTAAATATTTTAGTCTTTTTATTCAAGGTAAAATCATATTTATGACCAAAATATATGGAAATTTTATAACTTAGAACTGTTTAAAAAAAATCCTCAGACATAGGTTGGGGGTAGGACCCAATTTTTGATGATATTCAAAAATATTTTTTCTTAACAAATTAAAACATCTAAGGATGTGACTTGAAACATGAGGACAAGAAAATTGTAAGTATATTATGCCCGCTGTTGAACTTCAGCGATTCAGGTAATATTCGACTGAATTCAACCTCAAGTTACAATGACCCCAGTCAGAAAATGAATTGAAAAAGAGAAAAACTTGTTGCAGATACTACACTGTAAGCTTACCTACTTTCAGAGGTAGAATAATGTTGCTTCTTTGTATCAACTGCATCATCCCTCTCAAGGGTAGGTACCTATTTTCCCGGGTTCCCAGCAATCTGGAAAACCTGGAAAAGTCAGGGAAAAAAATGGCCTGGAAAACATGGAAAAGTCAGGGAATTTGCTCCAAAAGTCTGGAATTTTTTCAAGTACCGAGAAAAAAAAATTAATAAGTAAAAAAATAAAAGTAAAAGAATTAAAATTGAAATTGCAATTCCTTCGTTGTATTTTGAATTTTCCGCCAACTCATCCTCCTTATCGGCATTCGGAACGAATCGGAACTACTCGGAAGTGTTCGGTGGCTCCCCCTGCAGGTCAGCCATAATGATGGGGGCATCTTGTGCGACCGGTTGCGTCTAATGAAAAAAGAGATCGCAGGAGCTAGCCACTCCTCTTCACGATTGAGCGTTTTTGCAGGCAAAGACCCCGTACGATGTGCAGACGATCACAGAGCGGGAGTAGCTGGTGGAGCGTGCGTGCAGCTCGCTCGGACTCCATGATTCTGCTCTGTTGCTCTCTCCTTTCCCCTACTCTTTATTCCTAATGGCGCCAAGCACAAATTTCACTCTTGGAGAAAAATTAAACTGCTCAGCTCAGGGAATTGACCTTTTTGATTGCGATGAGATTAAATTTCTAAAAGCGTCTAAAGCAAGTCCTAACCAGGGAAATTCTCAAAATTCTTTGGCAAGATATTTTTCTGATATAATTTAAGGATTAAGGAGGGAGAATCTTTAGAATTTCTGGAGAAATCACAAGCTTGTGTTGGGGCCCCAGCGTTCTGAGGCATTGAAATTGAAACTAATCGTAAATTTAAACGTACCTATTTACATTTTGAATTTTGATGGAAAATGTGGGGGGGGGTTCATTTATATCTGAGCCATGTATGTTTGATTAGGGGGGGGGGGAGCTTAATTTCTATCTGAGCCATGTATGTTTGATTAGAGGATTTATTGTTAAGTAGGCAGAGGATGCTCGATATATGATAAGGGATGAGTTTGAGGATTTTTGCCCACAAAGTATGTTTTCAGGATAAGTAAAGCTTTGGCAGCTGAAGACTGAAGTAGCGCCCTTCTTTCCTTATTGGAATCAGGCGTAGATCTCAGGGAAAATTATTGAAAAAATATAAGGAGGCTATCTACGTGTGGGAGAAACACAATATATGTACTTAGAGTTAAATTTTAGGTAAAAAAGATGTGTACTTGGTTGTCGTAAAGACGCAGAGTTGTACTTACGTATTTGTCAGGCTGTATACATGCAGCACCCTTTTCATCCTCCTCCAGAAAATACTATCGTTGCTTACTATTATCTCAAACATGTTAAGCAGATGGCA